TCGGGAGCAATGCTCCCTCTAAGCTGTGGAGTCCTGTGAGCAAAAATTCTACTTTGTGAGCTACTGGCATTAAAGTTGTGAGCAAGCCATTTGGCTCCTGCATAAATCAGTTTGCTCTCGAGCCATCCCTTCCTGAGCTAAGACAACAATGTGTGAGCCGGAGGCTAAAAAACTGTGAGCTAGCTCAGAGTAACTCAGCTTAGAGGGAACACTGTTTGTGAGCTACTAACATTAAAGTTGTGAGCAAGCAATTTGGCTCCTGCATAAATTAGTCTGCTCTGGAGCCCTCCTTCCTGAGCGAAGACAAAAATGGGTGAGCTGGAGGCTAAAAAACTGTGAGCTGGCTCACACTCACTCAGTTTAGTGTCAGGCTCCTTAGTCAGTTCACACTTTGGCGCACACACGAACTATAACCATTGGCTTATGCCTACAAGTTAACGGCTTCACTGCTCTGCTTTGGTGTGCATGCGAATGATAACCACCGGCCTATGCTTACACGGGGAATGTTTGATTTCACTCTAAGTCAGATGCCCTTATACAGATGGCCATTCCTGACACAAGCTGTACACTTGTTCTTTAGTACTGGATCTACCAATAAACACTTATCTTCTTATGAAGCCCTTAGTCAGTTCACACCACACAGGGCTTCATAAGAAGATAAGTGTTTATTGGTAGATCCAGTACTAAAGAACAAGTGTACAGCTTGTGTCAGGAATGGCCATCTGTATAAGGGCATCTGACTTAGAGTGAAATCAAACATTCCCCGTGTAAGCATAGGCCGGTGGTTATCATTCGCATGCACACCAAAGCAGAGCAGTGAAGCCGTTAACTTTCCCAGCCGTGGAAGCGGTAGCTGGAACATCTACAAGGTCAAGCATAAGATAGCACACAGTAGCTGGGCAGGGTAGACCTGAGAACGAGAAGGAGGATACCCCTCACATCCCAGATCCATGACAGGGCTACCTGACACTTAGAGGGAACGCTGGTCTGGAGATCAGTGGTACGTCTGCGAGATCTCTGAGCCCCACCTGGAGTTTGGCGACCCTAGAATTGACCAACAGAAGATTTCCTGACCGGGATGGGCCAGGCTAGCCCGGTCTTGTGAGATCTTGGAAGCTAAGAAGGGCTGGCCCTGGTTAGTGTTCAGACAGAAGACCACCCAGGAAGCCCAGGGCTGCTCCCCAGAGGCAGGCAATGGCGAACCGCCTCTGAACGTCTCTTGCCTTGAAAACCCCTCTGGAGTCACTCTACGTCAGCTGCGATTTAATCAAGAGAGGGGTAAAATGCTTGTCTGATACATAGGCTACCAGTCTAGCCCGTACCCTGTTTCTCTTCCTTTCATCAGGTCTTCCTGTGACGGAGGAATTCTCAGCGGATCATGCCCTTCAACGTTTGAAACCATCGTCCCCAAACGGGACTCCCTTTAAGGCCGCTCTTCTCTTCAGCTCTCTCTCTCCCCTTCCAGTGCAAGGGTTTTCAGATTTATTTTC